GAGGCCATAAGGCTGGCATGCTCTGGAAAGGAGGGGAGAGGACAGCAATGACAAATCCCCCCCCTGCACCTCAGAGTGAGTTTCTGTGGTGTCCAAACGTGCCTACTGTCCTTGTGTTGCCAAGCCCTGGGCTGGAAGCAGGCTGTGTTTGGGAGAAGGGCACAGAAGGGCTGCTGGCAGGGTGGCAGGGGTGACATTGTGGTCCTGGCAAGGTCAGGGTGGCTGCCCTGCCAGCAGGGACAAGGGCTGGGCTGGGCATGGTCCCAGAGGGAAACTGCACAGATGCTGGACCTGGCAAAAGGGTGATGTTGGGCATTGTGCTGTGCCCTCTACAGGGATGGGCATTGATGAGTGGACACCTGTGCCACATCACCCTGTGCCAGAGACACAGATAGAACTTTGCTTCTTTCTCCACAGATCTACCACGGTCCAGAGAGTAACACAGAGGTTTGTACCTTTCATCCTGGTGTTCCTGTCTTCCACGAGGGGTAAGAAACAGCCCTTTACCAGAGCAAACTGGCCCTGCCATGGGCTAAAAATGCTGCATGGCAAGGCTGTGTGGCCCCAGCAGCACAGGCACTGCAGTTGGGGGTGACACCCTGCAAGGGGACAGGTGGACAGGGGCAACTCCTGGTTATGAGCTCCTCTGCCTCCCCACCCTGCTGTGGTCCCCTCTCCTGCTCCTGACCCCACTCAGGTTACCCTGCTCTCCCCAGGATGAAGTATTGGAGCTGCTGTGGAATCAAAACCACGGACTTCAGTGCCTTCATGGAGCAGCCAGGCTGCAGCCGTGGGTGCCACTGCTGGACAGAAAAGAAGGTAAGGGGGCTCTCAGCAGAGGCAACTCATGTGAGCAATTGGCATGATTGGCATTTGAGAGCACTCCTTCCCTTGCTCTACATTCACACAGGTTTCTGCATTTTATTGTCTTAATATTCACAGTTGCTGACAGATGAGTGCACAGGGTTTGAATGCCCAATCTTCATCCATCTGCCCTTTAAGATGCTGCTCTGCATTCACAAGATGTGTCAGCTCTCACACCCAATGGGCAGATGTGCAATAGAAATCTGAACGAGGCAGGACCTGGCCCTGGACACAGCATAGCCAGCATTGCAGGCTGCCACATAGAGGCAGGTGGCTGAGCACACAAAAGTCCTACAGAGAAACCCCAAAGGCTTTGACAGATGATTGCAGATAACTGAATTTGGCTTTAATGAAGCTTTCCCTCTGCAGCTGCTTCTCGGGAGGGATCTCATCCACACACCAACATGATGTTGTGGCAGGGCAGAGGGGACAAGATCCCAATTCTCAATACTGTGTCTGTGAATTTCCCCAGGAAAGTTCTTGAAACAAGCTTGAGCTGGGAAAGTTGCACCAAAGCAGTCCAGGATAACCCTGAAAGTGCACTGTGTTCCTCTGAGTCAGCACTGCTCCCAGCAACCCTCTCTGAGCCCAATCTCTTCTTTGTTCTGGAGCAGAAAACATATCCTGAATGTAAAGGAGGCTGCAGTGAAGGAACTGGGATGTTGTGATGCAGATGTTTTGTGCTAATTGTCACCTAAGTCTGGGGCCAGGACTCCTCCTGGAGCATTTCTTTGGCTGGCAGTGTGGAGGGCTGCAGGGGGTCTGTCTCCTTGTGCTGGTCAGAATTGAGCTGCTGAGGACACAGGACTGACACGGTGGACAAATGTGAAACGTGGCCACCTGGGGCTCATCTGACTCCAAATGTGGCATGGTGGCACTGATCCACATCCAGTAACAGCCCCTGCACTGCCCTCCAGGCTGAGTTTCCTGACTGTGCACAGCACTTAGGAGCTCGGGCACAGCAGAGTGACTCTGGAACTAGAGGAGATGTCCCTGATCTTAGAGTGCCCTGAAGGAACACCAAGCACAGCACAGATGTGCCAGTTACATGGGATGGACAGCATGGCAGGGGCTGCCCACCTTTGCATGAACCATCTCCTCTCAAAACCTGCACAAAAGGCAGGGTTTGCTCTTGCTTAGCTGCTGCCAACCTGAGCCAGCAGCACAGAGATGTGCAGGGAGCATCCTGAGGCTCAGCCATGCCTCTGCCGGGGCGGTGCCTGAGCCCCAGCTGCGCCCTGATGGGTTCCTCTCCTCGGCAGGACAAGAAGGCGGTGCTGTGCCGGCAGGACTGGCACCAAACCGGCAGCCAGGTGGTGGTGACAGTCTATGCCAAGAACCCCCTGCCTGCCCTCAGCAGCGTGAAGGCCAATCGCACCGTGGTGAGTGGGGTGGGCAGCTGCACTCCCATGGCCCACCTGAGTTTGCAGACCCCAGAGCCAGCGGGGTGCCTGGTGCTCTTTGGTGGCCTGTTTGGCTGTTTCTCCCAGCAGGGTTGGCACTGCCAGCCTGCCAGGCCTGTTTGGCTGTTTCTCCCAGCAGGTGCTCCCCTGGTGGCCTCACTGCTGGAGCTGCCCAGCAGCTCTGGCTTTCAGCTCCACTGGGTGGATTTGCTGGCTTTGGGTCCCTTGACCTGTGGCAGAGGTGAACCTGTCATGCTCTGGAAGGGGTGAAATGTTGCCAGGTGCTAAGGGGATCACCAGACCATTATACTGGAGCTAGGAAGTGGGATGCAATATGGTGCTGAAAGGCAGCTGCACTGTCTGGGGGAAGAGCTCTGGCAGTGCTGTGCTACCCTCTCAGATAATTTTCTGTTGATCTTTCAGCTTGAGGCTCATGTCATCTTTGAAGGGAATAAGATTTTCCAGGCAGAGCTGGAGCTCTGGGGGGTAAGATCCTGTTTGCTTTGATTTCCCTGTTCCAGCAGCCTGCATGGGGCTGGGCAGCAGTTCTGTGAGGCAGCCTGGGCTTTTCATCCTGGGCTGGGTTGCCCAGACACAGGCATTTGTGGCCATCTCTGCTGGGAAATGCCTTAGGGGTTGTGAGGAGGCTGAGGTGTCCAGGGCTGATTGATCCAGGGCTAAGGTCGGAGCTGGAGGTCCCTGCCAGCCCTATAGGTGTTCTGGCTTTGTCCCAGGCTGCCCCAAATGTTCTTTGGCCCGGCAGGTCCCTGTTTCCCCCACAATCTGCTGTGAGTTGCAGGCAGGCTGCGGTCTGAGCTATGAGACTGATTTTTCAGCTGCTTGCTGGCTGGGGAGCAGCAGTGAGGCTCAGGAATTTGCATGTGCGTTTCTCGTCTGTATTTCTGGTGCTGGCTGTGCCTGCAGGCGGCAGAGGGCTGCTGACAGGTGTGGCGTGGCTGTGTCTCAGCACAGCGCGCTGCTGGGGAGAGAGAGGCTGTGCCGCAGCTGCGAGGCAAGCTGAGCTCTCCTGAGCTCTGTGCGAGCGCGGTGGTGCTGCTGAGACACGGCAATGTGAAGCTCAGCTCAGCTCAGCTGCAGCCCAGGCTTCTCCTGGCACAGGAGGAGATTTCTCCTCTGGCAGGGCTTTGCCAGTGAGGGGAAGGCTGAGCGTGTGCTGCCTGCCCTCTCCTGCCCGGCTCAGTGTGCCTTTCCCACTCTCCAGACCATTGATGTGGAGAAGAGCTTTGTGAGCATGGTCCCGGCCAAGGTGGAGATCACGCTTTGCAAAGCCAGCCCTGGCTCCTGGGCCAGGCTGGAGCTCCCCCAAAGCAAGATGCAGTCCTGTGGTGAGCAAGAGAAGGAAGCTGCAAACACCGAGGAGCCCGGGGCTGTGCAGGATGAGGACTCTGATGACAGCTTGAGCTGGTCTGAGGAGGAAGATGAAGAAGAGTTGGAGATGGGAACACCGGATATGATAGCACCGGGTAACTGATGCTCAAGTGCTTCAGCCATTCCCTGGGTCCTGTGCCTCCATCCCTTGTCCCAAGTCTCTCTGCAGGTCTGCTGGACCCCCTGAGCTGCTGGGCAACTTGGCACCAGCTCCAGAAGAGCAGACCTAGTCCAGAGCCGTGTGCAGGCTGCAGCATGGCCTCTCCCCGGGTCGGAAGGGACAATTAATAAACACCCAGAGCAAAGGTTGTCCTCTGAAATCCGTGCCGGGCTCTTAAGAAACATCAGCGGGCCAAACCCTGCCTTCTGTCACTTCCTCTCCTGTGCCGGGCTGGGGCGGGACAACAGGACGAGTTCCCGTGCCTGCACCTTCGGTGTCCCTGGGGACGGGGTGTCCAGAGCCCAGCACCGTCCCTGACCCTGGCATTTCTGGGGGCGGACACAGCCTTCCCTGCCGCTTCTGGGGGTGCTGAGCTGAGTGTAAGCTCTTGCCGCCTCCCTCGCCCGGCGCTGGGGAAGCCGGACCCTGCGGCTCTTTGTCGGGAGACGGTGACCGCGGACACGGGAGCTCCAGCGGGGCCGTGCCGTTCGTGCACAGCCCCTTAGAGGCGTGAACCCGCCCGGGGGAGCAGCGGGATGCTGAGGGGGCCCGGGCCAGGCTGCGGAGGCGGGGGATGTCCGCGGGAGCTGCGCTGTGTAACGCGGCTCGGGAACGGGAACGGGGCGGAGGGCGGCGCACGCCACCGACCGGAGCATTCACCCTCGCGAAAAACCCAACAATCTGCCGCAGCGCCACTTAATTGGACAGTCTCGTGTAGAGAAAGCAAAAGCGAACACTCACTTTTGCCATTCTTTCCTTTTGGTAGCATTATCTTTATTAAGGATACATTATCCAGGGTATATGTTACGTATTGGTGGCTGTGCACACAGACACGCGTGCGTATTTCTGCGTATGGGCTTTGAAATGAATCTAATGAGAAATCATCCGAAGTCAGACTAACCCCCGCCGCTCAAGATACATCTGGACAACGCATAATTACAAAATAACGAATTTAGCAGCAGCAGGGTCACAGGGGGGCGGATGGCGAGGCTGAATCGGAGCATCGGAGCACTCCAGCGCGGCCGCAGCCCCGGGCCGGGCCCGAGGGGATGCTCCGGGCCGGGCCCGAGGCGATGCCCCGCTCCGTTCCGCTCCGCTCCCGGGCCCGCGCACGCCGCTCCCCGCGCTCCGCTCCGCGCCCGGCCCCGCCGGCCGCGCTGACAGCGGGGCGCGGCCCGCGGCCTCTGCCCGCCCGGGCGCCGCGGGTCCCGTCCCGGGGAGGCTGAGGCGGCACCTGTCCCGCCGGGACGCGGCCGGCTCCGGGGCAGGGCAGGGCAGCCCGGGGCACCGGGGGCGCCGCGGCCGCGTGGCGTGCCGGCTCCTTCGTGTCCGCAGCGCTCGGGAAGCGGGATGCGCGCCCCGGCGGTGCGTGCGGAGGTGAATGTGCCGGCGCGGGGCCCGGGGGTGCTGAGGAAGGGGTTGGAACGAGCCTTTCTCTGCTGCGGGGGGAGCGGAGCGGCCCCGGGCAGGGCAGGTCGCGCTCTCCCCCTTCCCGCAGGGTGCCGGGGCTGGGCTGGGCTGGGCTGGGCTGTGCCAGCGCGATGCTAATCCCTGTCGGGAGCACCGCGACAAATTTAAGGCGACCTCTGCTCCCTGCGAGTGCCATAAAAAGTTGGCACAGGATGAGGTAGCCTTTGGGAAGGTCCTTGCTTCGTTGCTGGGAGTGAGGGATACCGAGGATAGGAAGGTTGGATTTGTTCTTCAGAAAGTGGCAAAGTGCTGTCTCAGGAAGAACAGTGCAAGGTGGTGACCTAAAACACTCTGGGGTGCCAGGTATTGTCTCATCTAGCAGCTAACACGGAGCTGCCCTTCATCAGCCCAGTGGTTCTCTTCTGCACGCTGTGAGCTTTCAGTTTTATAGCGACCTGCACTGAGTTCCTGCTTAACCTCAAACCCCGAGAAGCAATGCTGCTTTTTATTTGTTCTGAACTTCTCTCTTTCTGGTTTTGTTCCCTGTGTTGTTTTCTGGTTTTGTTTGGTTGGATTTTTTTGTTTTGGTTTTTGGTTTTTTTTTTCAGGAACCAGTGAGTAATCAGTATCTGTTTGTTCTTTATAACCCTTGTGATTCCCTCCATAATTACTCTGAGTTATAAAAAAGCTTTAAATGCTTTCATTTAAGTGTTTTAATGTGTACCTTATGCTTGCAATGTGTGTCCTGGGCTGGGGTGCAGTACTCCTTGTGGCAGCATCATTAGCTCTTTGCCCCAAGCTCATTTTTTGATTTTTGAAAAGCTCACGTTCTCTTCCGTGTAAGATGTAAAATACATCACTTGAAGGCATACTTTGGAGCCAGGTTGCCACTGTTCACCAGCACAGCGGTTTTTCTACATGGGATTCAAGATTATGAGATATATTTTAGATTAATATTTCCATTTAAAAAAAACCTTTTAAATATTATTCATAGAAGGAACTTTAAGAGGTCCTGGAAAAACAACAAAATATGTGGCTTGCAATTAGTAGGAGGAAGCTGAACGTGTGGTTGGATTTGCTTATGTGATGAGGCCGTGATTCTTTTGGGGTCCAAAGTATTTTCACATAATCTGGTGTCTTGTGAAGATTTGTACCTTTACAGGGAATATTTTTTACTTTACATGCCAGTATGTGTAAATCTGATGAACTGCTGAGAGACTCCTTGACTCTGGTAACTTTTGCTCACATTTTAGAATTGCAATACTGGATGCAAATGAGACTTGGCAATGGTTGCAGTATTGTAGTGCACAAGCCATGATAAAATACACACTGAGTGCATGCATTAGCTCCTGTCTTAGTCATACCAAAACTCTTTGAAAAAATTGGTATAGATTGAGCAAGTGTGTTTTTGTTTGGGGTTTTGTTTGTTTGTTTTGATTTCTGTGTTTTGGGTTTTTCTGTTTTCATTTTGAGGCTTTTGTTTGATTTTGTTTTGGTTTTGTTTTTGTTTGGTTTTTTTCTTTGTTTATTCTTGTTTGTGTTTTTATTTATTATTAAATCTCCCTCCCCCCTTCTCCCCAGTGAAATTTGGGGGTGGAGGAGGAGGACTCAGAGAAGTGCAATCCAATGAAAAGTGTGCAGGGGCTTTTTTTTCTCAGGGAAAGAAGCTGAGATTTTCCTGGTGTAACGTTGCCCTTCGTGTACAACAGTGGCTTTGTTACAACTGAGGCTGCCAGCAAATGCCAGGTGACAAAAGATGATAGGAAGACACCCTAACAGTTCTTTATTTTTCTTTTCCCCTCAAACAGGAGTCAAGAATGCTTAAACTGGATTTATCATTCATCCTGCAACGAGCTTAAAACGCCTCTCCACAAACTTTATGTCTGAGGTACTGTTTGTTTCTTTTAGCCAACAGTAGTGACTAAGGCCTTGTCAGAATCTATGGAAGGTGGGAAGGACGTGGTTATTAACTTTTTATGAGCTGAGTGTGACCCCAGGACCTGTGCAAGTTGCTCGGATCACCAGGAGGTGAGTTAGTGACGGTGGGCACAGCACCCTGCAGCCCTGGCTCCTGTTCTTACACCTCTGCTCACCGTCAAAGGGTCACTTGTGTTCAAATAAACTGTGAAGGCTCCCTGTCGTGATTAATCCGTGCCTCTGCACGTGGTTGCAGGAGGGAAATCCAAGTTTAATACTCTGCAGCTTTTGGTTATGGCAGGATATGTGTCACGTTCCTGCACTGGGGATCTGGATATCTGCTGGAGTCTTGGGTTGGAGTTCCTGTGGGCTGTGCAGCTGCACCTTGTCACAGTGTTCCTGCTTCAGCTGAGCATCTCTTCCATGGGCTAATGCCCTTTGGAAATATTAATGATCCATTCAAGGCCTTGGATACATGGCATTTAAGGTGTTTGATGTTTGGTCACTAATATCATTGCTCTGCTATAAAATTTGGAGTACGAGTGCCTGTAGTAGGAGGTTTGTGTGGGTGAGTTGCCCAAATAACTCATGCAGATGACTTCATTTTCACTGTAGATTCCTAAGAAATATTGCTTAGGTGAGTTTCATCCCTGAAAAAAGAAAATCTTTAAATCAAACCAATTTCAGCCTAATTTGACAGAGGTAGAGATTTAAAAAATATTATTTGAAAGGTTTTGAGGGGTTTCTTTTATTTCCTAGAAACAACTTTTTTGTGTCAAAAGGCATGAAGGGCTTTCTAGCATTGGCACTGAAGGAACAACCTGTGAGAATTGCACTCCTGTTGTGTGCTTGGGAGCTGAATTTATAGGCAAAGAGCTCGGGAGAGAGCAGGCTCCCTCAGTTCTGTTGTTCACGTGGAGCCTGGGAGCTGGGCTGCACAGTTCCTGCTGTGCTGCTGAAATCTGCTTTCCCTTGTGGGTATTTCCCCTCTCTGCAGCCGCTCAGAGTGTTGCAGTTTTGTTTCTCTTGCAGGTAAATGGCAGGACAGAAAGTGGTGTGAAAACTTTGAGAGGCACTGAGAAGTCCAAGTAGGTCATTCATTGCTGAAGGATATGAGGGATGAGGTCTCCTATTTAACTTTTTCTGCTCTTTCTTGGCACCCATTCTGAAAGCCTGGCACTTCTCCATCCCTTTGGCACTTGCCTAAAACAATGGCAAGTAAGCTGAGCTGTTGTGGGATAGTAACAGTCTTGATTAAATTGCTGAGAGCCCCTTTCTCTTCCCTGCTAGGGCTGGTGGGTAAGCTGCACATGTGAATTAACTCCTTTGCATGGGTGAGGATGGTGTGATATATTTAGAACAGCCCTATCCACCCAGTTCTTTGTTGAAAGTTCCTGCCTGACTTCATGTTTCAGGCAGACAGAGTGAATTGTCTCTGATCTAGTTTTTGTTACTGAAAGATGAGCAATTAAATTGTTTCGATTTCTTAATTTCTGCCTGCCCCTGGTAAAGCAGGATCTGGTTCTCCAAAACAGTGAGGGCTTGATGAAACGTGATGGCTGAGCAGAATGACACAGCTCAGCACAGCTGATTTCAGCTGAATTAGAGAGTTTTCTGCTCAGTTTTGGCCAAAATGGGGCCCTATCTAAACTGCAAAGAGAAGGAAGGAAGAGCTGACAAACTCAGTGAGAGTGAGTTTATCAAAGAACAATATCAGAGCTGAAATCCACCTAGCAAAGAGGCATCTGAGGTTAGCAGAGCAAAGGCAGAGGCGTGTCCTGTAAAAAGTAGTTCTGCAAAGGGGCTTTACAAGTGTAGGAAGTATAAAAAGCATAAATCTAGAAAACTGCAAAGGATCCAGGTTCCTGTTTTCTCTGTTTTCTGTCACTGTATTCTCCCTTCTCTCAGCAGACAGGGAACTTCCCTTCAGGAGTATTGAAGGGAAGATCTAGAAGTTGTTTCTCAACCACAAAAAAATCTTGATGCAATGTGAAGTTGCTCTGTGTGTGTGTTCCAAGCAGTGAATTTCCCCAGCAAATGTTAGTCTGGAGAGCAAACTGTCCGTGTTAATGATACAGAAAATGCTTAATTAGGTCAGAACGGGAGCAGCTCTTCAGATGATGTCTTGACATGTTGAAGTCTTGCACATTCCAGAGGAAGTGCCAGGTGCGCAGGCAGTGCAGTCAGACTTTGCAGCATCTTCTGAGGAGGGAACTAACCCAAACAGGGAATGCCAGTTTTCAAATCCAAAGTCATTGATGGACAAGTAGGAATAACTCTTATCTAAGTATTTTTGCACAACACTTCTACGTGGGGTGATTTGGTGTTGGTTTTTTTTTTTTTCTAGTTGCTTTTTAAAAAATTATTATTTAATCTGAAAATTATTCCCTTTCTGCTGTAACTGCTAGAACCTCAACTGTAATAAAAGTTCATTCTCTGCAAGGACTAAAGAACCCACATTACCTCTCACTGCTTTGGATTTTCTGTTCACTTGTTTCTCTTGCTGCATAACCTTTCAACTTGGCTTTGAAGCTTGTGCCCAGCTTTCTGTTTCTAAATGGGGTTTTTTAATGTATTGACGTGTTAATCTGTATTTTTCTTTCTTTGAGTTCTTGTTACTTGTCATATGTGGAGTTTTTCTTTCAAAAGTTTCCCCAAAAATTCTTTTGATGGTCACCAAAAAAATCCCAAACAAACCCTGTACCAGTTTTCCTACTCTTGGTAGTATTTGATGGTAATTTTGTTTCTGGAGTATGGTATTTTTTTTCAATGTATATTTATATTTAGATAGCATGCAGTGCCAACTTCAAGGGTGCTTAAGAAATAGAAATTTTCCATGCAAATTTGAACCCAGGCTTTTTACTATCTTATGAGAGTTTTATTGTAGGCAAATTGTTTGCTAAAAAAATAATTAGAGATTTCATACATCATGAATTATTAAGTACATGGATTTAATAGAAAAGACCTGATGGAGGGAATGTTAATTTGCTTGGTTGTGACTTAAATTAAAAAACTCTTTGTGTTCCATATATAAATCTTCAACCAAACTACCCTTGCTCACAACGTAGTTTTCTGGAGTCAAGTAGCTTCTTTCTACTCTTTGCTTTTTGATTAATTTATCTAAATTTTGTGTTTCAATACAAGGAATGTGTATCCTGGTGTGTGTTTGTTTTTCTGTATTGCATATGCCACACACGATTCCTTTCAGCTCAGGCAACCTCCTTTAAAGGGGCCCTTCAGAGAATCACACTTAAAAGCCTCCAAGCTCTTTAGCTCTGTTTGTGTAGTTAATACTTTGCCCAATGCCTTGGCAGGTTTGCCTGGAGTTATTTCCCCTTGCAAATGTTGCTCTTTTAAAATCCGAGTTTTAGTGAGGTAATTCAAGGTATTAGTGCCCTGAAAAGAGCATTCATGTTTCAGGCTTTTTTTGTTACTTTATTACCAATTTCCAAATTGAAGTCTCTAATGACCTCTGAAGTAAAACACCAACAAAGTAATCTTTGAGTAACAGGGTTTCATTAGCCATTTTGAATCAGATTGTGTTAGCTGCTGATGGTCTGGGGTGACTTTGGAGTTTATCCATTTGGGAAGCCGTGCTGCCTGAGGGTGCTGCTGTGATGTCCCTCCGGGCAGTGCCAGTCGTGTGCAGGCTGGGGTGCACTTTGGGGATACCCTGTCACTCTGTGCAGAGCTCTGGACAGAAAAGCATGGAGATTTAAGAGATGTAAGTCCCTGTTTGGGTTTTAAAGAGAGATCTGTTTACAAGTGTTTGCAGTTTGTTTATTTTAGAAACCAGGGGTTGGGCACATAAAAGGCTTTGTGTATCATCTGGTTCCTCATGAGACTTCTGTTGCTGACTTAGCTCTGCCATCTCTGTGATGTCAGTTGTTACTGACTGGTCAAAATGAATTGTCTGTTGCAGAGATAGTTCATTTGGGGGAAAAACCTTTGCTCTGGAAGCAGTGGTGTTGGTCACCACTCAGGTTTCTGGCACAGCATGTTCTGGTACTTCAGGAGTTTGATGTAAGTGCAGGAATGGGCTTTAAAGCCGGCCCTGTGCTGCAGTCCAGCCAGGATGGGGCAGCAGCAGCAGCAGCACAAGGTGGTTCCTTCCCACCATGTGTGGTTTCCATGGTGTCTGTGTACATCATTGATGCTTCCTTAAGCACTGTGTGTTGTAGTGAGCAGTCAGTGTCACTCCAGTTGCCTGCTGCAGCTTTGTGCAAAGTTTCAGGTAGCCTGTTTTCACTCAGTTCAGGAGAATCCTGTGCTCCCAGTGAGAATGTGGATGCAGGTAAAGACTTTATCTAAAAGGACAAAGTTGAGGCTTAAATGGGAGTGAATTGTTGATTTGTTTGGATGGCCTTGAAGTTCTGTATTCCCTTTGCTACTTGGATGGTGTTGGAGATGAGATCTTTCTGGAACATGCAATCAAAATAGTTTAGGTTGGAAGGAACCTTTGAAAGTCATCTGGTTCAACCAACCAGTAGTGAGCAGGGACATCCTCAACGAGATCAGCTTGCTCAGGGCCCCATCCAGCCTGGCCTTCAATGTTTCCAGGGATGGGGCAGCCACAGTTTCTCTGGGCAACCTGTGCCAGTGTTCCACCACCCTCACTGTAAATAACTTCTACCTTATATCTAATCTAAATCAATCTTTTCCTAGTTTAAAGCCATTACCCCATGTTCTATCATAACAGGCCCTGCTAAAAAGTTCTTCCCACTTATTCTCTTCTGTTTGAAGCAGAGTATTTTCTGCTGGTTGCAAGTTGAGGATTACTGATAGTACCTCAAAGGCATTTGGGTGAGAAGGCAGATGCAAGTTCCTTCTTGTTCGGGCTAGCAGTGGAAGCTCCAGCACACAAGAAATGTACAACAAATGACTGGCTGTAGTTAGTTCCATGCTGTTTTCAAACTTCTTGCTGTTCATGTGATGAAAGTTTAAAATTTGTTGTGTTTTAGACTGAACCAGTTTAATTGTCAAACCTACCTTTCACGTGTCAGGAAAGGGATATGGAAAACCTCTAAGTGTCAAGTATCCCCCCAGTAACAACTCCCCAGGAAAGTTGTTTGAGTGCTGATCTTTTAGGACATGTATTTTTCTTATGCTCATTATTTAGAGGACACCAAGTAACTCAAGCCTATTAAATCCTGCTTGTTCTGTCAGTGATTAGTGAGCGTAATCTGTTCTTGGCTTCTTTAGAAAAATTCTTTATGGATTCTAATCTGGGTTACTATGGCTAGTTAGATTTCAAAGAACAGCTTTTCTTGATTGTGCTGCTTTCTGAACCTTTTATCTGGTGTCCTGTAAATAATGTAGTTTATTCAGGACTGATTCATCTGAGTGTAGTGAACCATTATTGTAAACAGTAGCACTGCAGCCCAGAAATGAATATCTTGATTTTATTTATAACTTTTGGACCTTTCTTTGTGGTACACTGTTTAGATAGCAGACTGTGTAGGCAAGTGTGAGTGTTGGAGTGTGTGTGTGTGTGTGTACAGAGGTGGATTTGTGAACCTACAAACGACAGAGTGTCTTGTTACTGGGTCACAATCCCTTTCCACTTGCAGGTGCCTCTAAGGACTTGTCCTTTTGCCTGTGGGAAACAGTCTGGCAGTAAGGCAAGACTGTGGGAATTTGGCTAATTTGTACTTACATGGTTGGAATGCAGCCAGTTGTCACTTAGCTCTCCACTCATTGCATCTCCATTTCACTATTGTCTTTCTAGCCCCGAGCTCTTCAGAGTGGCTTGAGACATTGAATGTGATAAGAAATCCTCAGCTATATTAAAAACACTTGCTAAAGCTTATCTTTACAGTGAGTGTCCTTTACCTAACTCCTCTCTTCTTGCTTTGAGCAGGACTTTGTTTCTGGGTGAAGCATGCAGACTATAAAGTGCGTGGTGGTCGGAGATGGCGCGGTGGGAAAAACTTGTCTCCTCATCAGCTACACCACCAACGCCTTCCCAGAAGAGTACATCCCTACTGTGTTTGACAACTACAGTGCCCAGATGACCGTGGATGGCCGGACAGTCAGCCTGAACCTCTGGGACACTGCGGGCCAGGAGGAGTACGACCGCCTGCGCACGCTCTCCTACCCCCAAACCAACGTCTTCATCATCTGCTTCTCCATCGGCAGCCCCTCCTCCTACGCCAACGTCAGGCACAAATGGCACCCTGAAGTGTCTCACCACTGTCCAAATGTCCCCATCCTTTTAGTGGGCACGAAGAGAGACTTGAGAAGTGACCTGGAAACGGTTAAAAAGTTGAAAGAGCAGAGCTTGGCTCCCACTACCCCGCAGCAGGGGACTTCGCTGGCTAAACAAATTGGAGCAGTCAAATATTTGGAGTGCTCGGCGCTGAATCAGGAGGGTGTTCGGGAGGTGTTTGCTGAAGCTGTCCGTGCAGTTCTGTATCCTGTGACAAAGAAGAACACAAGAAAATGTGTCCTGTTGTAGTTGCCTTGGGTGATGGATGTTGGAAGTTGACTAGAATCTTGGAGGGCTTTCTAACGAGTTAAATTGAAGATTTGCATCTTGCACTAACAGCTCTAAGCAGAAATGGTTTATACAATGAATATTCTTGCAGTCTTACTGCTTCAGGGAAACTGAAACAGAACAGGTTTTTTTTTTCCAACTGAGAGGTCAAACACCTACTCTATTTCTAAAGTTCCAGTCTCCAGCTTCTCCAGGGATCACTTGATTATTTTAGTGGAGGAAAATAAAAGAGTAGACCTCTTTGAAGCCACTTCTTTACTAGATAGCCATCAGTTACTAGATTTGCTGAAAAGCACAAATCCTGATAACTTTGCTTTAAGTGTAGCTGCTGCTTTTCCCATCCTTTATTTACTGATTGAATTTGTTGTACAAACAGAAGTCTGGCTGTCCAGTTGTTTTGTCAATTTAAAGCTTGAAAACAGTTTGTTTACTTGCAAAAATGCCTGAACTATTACTGAGATTCACCTTGTAGTGAACTGTGATTGATTGTATGAAGAGTTAGCATGAGGCATGGTTAATGCAATGAGCAAGACCAAGGGAATACCTGCAATGATTTATTAATAGAAGCAGGAGCTGATTTCTCCTTATGTAAGGAACTTAGAATAATGATGACTCAGTCAAATGAGTGATTTTCATAGTTTTGAAGTGAAGAAGTGGAAGAGTAGTTTAGATTCAAGTCTTCCATAATCTTCTAAACTGAGATTTTATTTCACTCTCCAAAGAGACGTTGCACCCTGAGAATAAAGTTTTAACAATTACCTTCTCAGGCTGACTGAGGTATTTAGGATGACACTTCTCAAAATGAGATTTTCAGTGTAATCCTTTTGATGAATCCCAGAGACTTGACAGCAGCCTGTTTGCTCTTGAGCAAGTGCTTAAATTCCTAACATTCTTGGGGCCACCATCTGAGATTTTTATGGCAAATTCCTTTGTTGTTTTTCTGTGAGAAGGCTGACAGAAAATGTGGAGGTTCTGTTTACAGGAACCCCTGCTTCTTCCTATTTTCAGTTCAGTCTGTAATGGTTAGCTGGTCACTGGATAGGATTACCTGGGTGGTTTTTTCCTCTCCTGGATGCTCAGTTCTTATACACTCTTTTTAACTGAAGTTCTATTTACATACTTTTTAACCTTCTTTAGCAGCTCTAGTAAGTGGCAGCTGGCTTTTATTTTCAGGATGTGCACTGTTCTTTATGTGTGGTTCCGGGACCAGCTGAGGAGTGAGCGCATGAGCCCTTCCTTAGACTCAACCTTCCAGCTCCGTGGTATGAAAGCAGCATGCTTCAAAGATACTTTGTGTGAAACCACTGGTGCTGGACTGGGCTTTGTTGTCTGAAGTTGACAGTGCTGTCTTTGTCTGGCTGCAGCCTCAATTGGTCATTCAGAACTTGCTTTTTTCTTGTGATTCCCACACATGCAAAACTGCACTGGTGTATACCCTGGTCAGGAAAAAAAAAAAGTGCCTCATTTTAGCAAGATAACAGAAAATACATCAACAAGGTTATTAGGGATCTTGTGTTAATTTGACCTTGCCTTATCTGATGCTGGCAAAAATACCAGGTGGATAGAAATGTTTGCATTTGTGCCCTAATTCCTCTATTTGGATGGAAATGTTGGTATTTGTGCCCTAATTCCTCTATTTGAAGAGGATGTGCCTTTCTTCAGCTGGTGTAACTGTTGCTGACCCTAACTGCAGTTTTTTTCATCTAAGACATGCTCATTTTGGTGCTGCTTTAGCCAATTGCAACCCGCAGGTTATAAACTGCAGTTAACCCAAATTCTGGTGCCTGTGGTCAGTGAAGCGACACAGAGTTCCAAGGCTGAGCACAGGCAGTTCCAGAACACCTTTCTGCAGGATGCTTGCAGAAGCCTGCACACTCTGCACGTTTTTCTTCACCAAGTGCCATTGCCTGGAGTGTCTTTGTGTCTCTTGCACTTGCAGAGGAAGTGCTGTTCCAGATGTGGCTCCTGCCCTGAGGGCTGTAGAGAATTCACTGAGATAACCTCTACTCACCACCTTCTGCCTTTGCTTTAGCTGTAGGCCTTTAGTGTGGGCTGGGCTTGCAGGCAGCAATTAACTCTGTGCCTTGTAATTCAAGATTATTTTCTGTAGGTAAATTTAAGTAACTGAGTAAATAGACTTTATCATGTTTAAAATGTATTTATTTAAGCCAGTGCACGTGGTTTGTTTTAATGCTGGTCAGACCTGAATCAACTGTCTAGTGACCCCGGTGCAAGCCCATAACCTTGCTTTATTCAGAAATGTACTTTTAAAAGTCTGTGATACATTTGAACTAGTCTTAAGAGGTGCCTGAAATTAAAAGTCTACCTTTTTTTTTTTTTTTTGGCTACATATATTTGCAGTTTTGTACTGAAGCTACTACTGTTTTTAAAAGTTTTTACTTTTTTACATACTGAAATCTTTTAATCCTGTGCCTTTTTGTGGTTATTCCTAACTGAATTACATGCATTTTGTGGAGAAGAAATCTTGTGAGCAAGTATTATTGCACAGCCCCTCCATTTCTGTAGGCTCAAGCAGCCATCCTGGAGTGAACTGGAAGAGAGTGTAGCGAGATAAAATTCAACTACTTAATCAATTTATTTGATTTGGTTACACTGTTGATTACATTATGCCAGAACACCTTATCCCCACTTAGATTACTTAGCAGATGGATTGCACAACAGTGCTGAGGAGAAGAACAGGAGGATAGTTATGAAAATGGGCAGAGGGAACTTTGAACCATCAAAGACTTTTTACTCACTTCGGAGAACATGGTTATTTAAATGCTTTCTATTTCTGGAGAACATGGTTATTTAAATGCTTTCTATTTCTGTCACCCTCTGACAGGGGTAAAAGTCCTGGCTAGTAGCTGGTTTCCTCCAGCCTCTGCTTTCCATGAGGGTGAGCTTCAGAACAAATCCAGCGAGCTTTTCCTTTCAGTGGGCATTCTCCTTTCATGATCCTCCTTCCTTTTTTTCCCCCTCCCTGGAATTCTTGGTCCTTTTTTTGTAAGTAGTCCAGTGCTTCAGTTTACAATCAGTTCTGTTTCTTCCATGCTTTATTTTTCTTCTGTGGGCAGTTGAAAAATACAGACTTCACATAATCCCATGGCTGGATTTTGTCTTGTTTTGGGAGGTCAGAAAACTCAGTGTGGGTTTCCTGAACGGTTCAAGGTCCTTCAGTTTGTTACTGAATAGAGATGCAATGTGTATGTCTTAATTCACAGAAGAGACTCACTGTGAAGACACAGATTTTAATCTTTGCTTTGTGAATTATTTCTGAACTACTTGGGTTTGTTTTTTTTTTTAAATACAGCTGAAGCTGGGCAGTTCAGGAATTGTGTGTCCAAAGGATATCCATGAGGTGTGCTTAGATTTGGAAGTGCTTTCTTCAGTTTAGAGCTGTAGCTATTTCTATGAAATTTAAACTAGAAGAACGTCCCTGTGCTTTGTGTCCGGGTGCTAAACCTCACTGTAGGAACCTTGGTGCTGCTTGGGCTGACCCCGAGTGAGAAGCGGATGGATCTCAGAGGGTCCCAACCCCCGGGGTGGGCAGCAAGGACCACCCAGCAGCCGCGGGAGCCCAAGGCTCTGAAGTGTGGTACTGATACATACACTGGCAACTTGATTTTATGCTATAAAATGATTTGTATTACATCTAACAGTTTTAAAGGATCTTTTCCTTTTTTTTATTATTTTATAAATTATGCGTAATGACATTGTAATAAACCTTTCCTCACCTCTCTGGCTGTCGCATTAACTCGCCCTGCTGTTTGTCCCGCACCTGTGCTGAAGGCAGCTCTTTCCTGTGGAAAGCCGGGCCCGGTTCCTGAGGCAATAAAGGAATTTTTGGCAAGGGCGGAGCGTCTGCGCTTCCTTGCTGCGCCGCGCCGCGGGGCCGCGCGGGGGCGCTGTGGGCGGAGGCCGCTCCCGGGGCCGCTCCCGCCGCCGTTTCCGCCGTTCTCGGTGTCGGGGCAGCGATGTCGGACTCGGAGAGCGAGGAGGAGGCGGATGGCGGCCGCGCCGAGCCCTTCTCCCTGGCCGGCTTCCTCTTCGGCAACATCAATGAGGCGGGGCAGCTGGAAGGGGACAGCGTCCTCGACAAGGTAGGGCCGTGTCGCTCCGGGAAGGCACCGCGGGCGGAGGGACGGGCGTGAGCCGGGGTGCCTGGGGCGACCTGTGGGCTGTGCCGGGGTGAAGCCGGGGTGACCCGCTTTGTGCGGGATGTACCGGGGCATCCCGGGCTCTGCTGGGGTGAGCCGGGATGTGTCACGAAACTCGAGGTGTCCCGGGATAACTCGGAGTGTCCCGGGGGGTGCTCGGGGCGGGCTCTGGGGCAGCACCCGCGGGGCCCGGCCCGGCCCGGCCCGGCCCGGCGCTCGCAGCCTCCCAGCTCTGGTCTCCCCAGGAATCCAAGAAGCACCTGGCCGGGCTGGGCGTGCTGGGGCTGGGCAACCTCATCACCGAGATCACCGCCAGCGAGGAGGACAGCGCCGAGAGCGAGGGAGCGCACCTGGACGAGGAAGGTTTGGCGCTGGGTGGCTGCGCTCGGGTAGCGGAGGGGCTGCGGAGAACGAAATGCACCCGGGTCTGCAGGGAGTATCGTGGTGGTCTCTGCTCAGCGGCCCTCTGTCAAATGCCTTCCCTTCTCCACCTTGCCAGACAGAATCCCACAGTAGCTCCCAATCAATTCTGCACCTGTTCCCTTTCATTTTTTATGAGTATTTTTTCTTTTACTTGTCTCTCTTCCTTCATAAATAAGTTTAATCTGTGTTTGTATTAAAGAAGCCTACTTAGCACACAGCATTATAATATCTCTTTCTGAACTTGTTGAACAGTTTTCACAAGGTGCTCCTTGTGCTAAATTTGCTTGCTTACCAATCTTTTAGGGAAAATTCAGAGCCATGCGAGCTTTTGATTAGAATGAGGGGAACAGTACTCTGGTGGGAGATGCTAATCAGATAGTTTTTAGCAAAGGATTCATAAGCACCTAGTGAAGTCTGATGTAACTAATACAAATTAGGATAAAGTTTTGTGTTCCTCCTAGGCTGGGTTAAGAGCACAGAGGATGCTGTTGATTACTCAGACATCACTGAAGTGGCAGAGGATGAGAGCCGTCGGTACAAGCAGGCGATGGGCAGCCTGCAGCCAGCCCGAAGGCCAGGTAAAGGGGACCAGCACTGCAGCTCTGCTGTAGGAGCTGTTCTGGGGCATTGTGCTTTTCACTCCTTGCTTCAAGAGCCCAGGATCAGCTTTTGTGAAACTCTCTTCACTGGATGAAGCACTGCTTGCTGTCTTCCTCTTTTAAGGAATCGGTTCCTAATTGGAGTCACTTCAGTCTTAGTATCTCTCTCCAGTTTTACTCTTGAATTTATTTTTTTTTTAAGACTCTGCAGAAGGTACCTTGGTTCTTTTGTTGGTCCCAGGTGTCTCTGTCTGTATTCTGGCCTAGAATGTGATTTCAAAAACAAGCAGCTTTTCCATTTCAGTAGCTGCTGGTGTAAATGCTACATCTTGGCATATTCTTCAAAGGTGTCTTACACTTAATCTTTCTGGTGACTTTTTGTGGTTAGTGAGATAGGAAGGTGATTTTGACTTTTTAACCCACATTTTCTTTATTTGCTCTACAAAGAGTGAATAAAAGGATGTGATAGCAGAATATATAAACACATAGGCAAATTGTCAGTGAAAGGAGGTCATAGCAGAATATATGCATACACATAGATTTTAAGTGCTTCAGTCATCTTTCTGCCAGTTTCTCTGGTATTTTTTAAATTTACATCTTGCAAGTGAGTTTGTGCAGGAAGCTGAACTGCTGAGAGTTTTCATCTAGTTACAAGATAAGAATGGTGTCTATGCCATCAGGCTTGAGACAGAATAAATGGAAAGGGTGCCTGGTTTTGTTTTATTATCTGCTTAACGCGTGGTCTTGTCTCCTGCCTGGTTAGATGAAGATGAGGATGATTATGATGCTGACTGTGAAGACATTGATTCCAAGCTGATGCCACCACCACCACCCCCTCCAGTACCTGGAAAAAAAGAAGATGAAAAGGATGCAGCTGCCACTGGTGAGTGAGGACTTTCTTCTTCTCTCTGGCAATGTGAATGTCTGAAGAAAGTGAGCTCTTCTGTGTAGCAGTTCTGCGGCACCGCGCGGCACCAAACTCGGTCTGCAGGCTGCATCTGGAGGTGAGTGTTTGTGGTGGTGCAGGATTGCCTGAAGCCTAGGGTATTGTATTGCCAGTGACTTGAAATATTGAAATGCCCATATTGACAATGAAACTGTTTTTTTATCTCATCCTCTCAGTTGTGGCTGGGGAATTCACCTGGAACGCTTAGGATAAAATGAAAGGTTAAACCAGAATGGTACTTAGAACGCCTGCACAGGCTCAATTTTTGCATAACTTCATATAAACAGTAAATGTGGCACTATGGGGTTATGCTAGGGGAGAGGGAGGAGACCTGTTTGTTTATGAGGTGCTTGTTCTATTGTAGTATCTGAAGATGGAGACGGTATCATTTTGCCCTCCATCATTGCTCCTT